CTACCCTTGCAAGCCGCGGAAGGGTTGGCGGAAGGCCGAATTTGGCATCACAATTGCAATCTTATATCACATGTGCCAGCCCTTCTGACCCCTTCATTCTTCCGCAGCGTTTTCGGATCAGATCCTTTCCATTATCTCTCCCTACCGTGCCATCAACAAAAATCGGAGGTTGCCAGTGGAATTATTTCATTTGGATTCCGATTCGCGGATCCCGGGCCCCACACGTCGGGACCCAACATTTCCGGTTGCTTCCATCCGGCTGGGATCCATGGGCACCCGGCGCCCCACCTTGGCGAACCCCCAGGAGTTGGACTTGGAGGCCCCGCAAAATGTCAGACGAGCGGGCGGAGGAACCATCCCTAGCAAGCCCAAAGGACAATCTCTGACCAACCGATGGTTGCGAACAAGGGTGTTTGCGGCCCGTGGTTTCCAAGTGGTGCGACATGATTTGGTCCATCCACAGTGTCTCTTTTGAGGGCATCCCTTTTTGGGTTGGCTTGAAAGGGACACCAAAAGGAAACCGAAGCCATTTTGGGGGTCCAAATCCTAAAGCAAGACACACCCTCCAACTACCAAAGAAAAAATGGGATATGGGACATTGGGGGGTTCGCGCATTCAGAGTTCCATGCGGCTTCTAAAACTTGCACCATCTCTGCAAGCTGCCTGGGGAAATTCATGGGTTTTGGGTCTCAAGACGAATTTCCGGGCTCTCTCCACGAAGGTATCATGCATTCCCTGAACGGTGTCAAGGTGCGTCAAAACTCCCAATTTTAGCCTGGACTCATTGATTAGGCACAAATGAGAGGCTGCTCATCTCATGATTTGAGCATGTTCGAGATGAACCTGGTCTAATTGCCTTTCGCTGGCGCTCTTGGAAACACAGCGGACATCGATCTGGACCCTCGAACTAGCCTTGAAATGGGGACGAGAAAAAAACACACACAAAAAACATGTGGCTGCGTTTTTTCCTCAGGGTACCATCTGTGTGGTGGTGTTAAAGAACAACCAACATGAACACAATTTCCATTTGTGGCTCCATTGGAAAGGCGCCATGGGGCTTCAGCAAAAGCGGGGTTTGGTCGCCCAAAGGACACCATACCTTTGCTGAGTCTTTAGGGGGGCTTCCTGGCTGAAGTGTCAAATCCAGCTGATGTTCCACGCAGGGTTTTTTGTGCGACCCTACTTAAGGAGGGCCTGGGCCCTCGTTCTTGTTTGTTTTCCGTGGTGCAAATGAGGAACATCAGGTGGCGGCTTGGATTGGGATTTGAGCCCCTGCCTGTAGAGGGTAAATGGGAGGACTCTCCTGAACCAAACCACCAATCCAAAGAACCAATTGGAGGGACGCTGAGAACAAGCGAAACCCAAGATGGTGCCGTGGTTCATGGCTGGCTGTGCTTGCAAAGGTTTGTTTACCAGCCTGGCTTCAGAGGTTCTCAGGTCTCTGTAGAAAGTCGACATGTGCGAAGAAACCAGTAGCAAGTTCGGCTTGGCGCCCTGGTACTTGGGCTGTTTGGCAAGTTCCTGGTTAAGATGCTCCAGCGGATGTGTTTTGCTTGAGGCGTTATGTGGTCTTTGAGTTGTAGGTCAAGTCCTCTTTGCTGATGGTGAGTGAGCGCGACCTGCGAGTGAGTGTTTCACTCACTGGCAAATTATCGGTTTCCTACTTCTGGTTTGGGAAGGGCAAGGAGCACCCAAATTGCTGTTGAAAGCCAGGGGCCAGCCCAATTCGGGGAATACATAATTCTGTCACCAGAACCGATCCTGCAACCCCCCCCAAAACCTATACTCTAAGTTTATTGTCCGTTGATCAAGTATTGAGCAACGGAAAATTCCAAAGGGAGGCCTGGCCATTTGGCCAGCCAATCTTCCCGGTTGGGATCTCCCTTAATCTCACATTTTTTTAGGCTTGCTGTTCACTGCCCCTGTCCTCAAAAGGAGCATGTGCCCAGCGGGTTGGGGCCAATGCTATGGTGTTATTGTTTTAAGCAGGATGGTTGAAGCACATGGAAGAGGAATCGATTGGAAGGAACCACTCGCTGGATGCCAAGAGCAATGGCACACTTTGGCAAGGAATCACCTAGGCTGCAAAAGTCGGGTTTTGCGGCGCTCAGTCTTGGGAGTTTCTCAACATATCTCCGCTTTTAGGGGTTTTGAAGGGAACCACAGCAACCACCAGCACGCCTCAAGGACTGCTTTTTGGACAGCACTTGCTGGGTTTGGTCTCTGGAAAAGACCTACCAGTCGTTGGGTGCTGGAGCAAACCAACCTTCTGGAGCTTCGGAGTTTGGCATGAATTGTTGATGTTTTATTCTTGACTGCTATTAGGGAACTGACATTTAGGCTTGATCCTTTTGGTTGAATTCAAGTGGGGTTTCCGAGTTGAACCCGCAAAAAGTCTTCAGGGGTGGGGCCAGGACGGTGATCTTCCTGCAACGAGCACCACCAGCGGTGGCAGTGAAGACGGAAGGCGCTGCTTGGTTTGTGAAATATGGGAGTGGTTTGCTGGGAGGGGTGAATCCCATTCTAAGACAAACCCATATAAATTATATAAACGGCAAACGCATCTGCATATTCTATCGAGGCCAATGCTATGGCGGGCTAAATCATTTCTACAGTTTTCTCCTGTGATCAGGACTCAGTTTGGCTTTGAAGTAATTAACTTTCAACCTGGTGTCCACTTATATTCCACTCTCCGCAGGTGAAAAGTGCTGTATGTTTCCTTCATGGAGCCGCTATTCCGTATAGTTATATGGCTGTGGGTCAACAAATAGGTACCCTAAATGGAACCCTGATGAATGGAAACATGAACTAAAACCTGCTGTCCCCTGGTGGTGTAATTCTGAACCGTACCCCTACACCCCGATTTGCCTTTGTAGTGTCTTAGATCCGTCAAATGTGTTTTTCTTGTTGGTATGGTAGGCCTCCGGCCGCAGGCACCTGGCAGAACCATTCCCTTCTTGCTTGCTTGGTGGGAAGCGTCTAAGTGGACTTAACCGTATGGTGGATGGACGGAATCCTGCACCAGTTTGAAACCATGGGAAACCACCGTTTGTTGCTATTTACGGGGGGAATCATCATTCCAGGCTTTCTTAGGTGGTGCAGGATTTCGTCCATCCACAGTATGGTTGAACCCCCCAACTGTTGGCTTGGTTGGTCTCCAACTTCTAATTGGACTGAAGTGACTTAATCCCAGCATGGTGTTCCCCCAGAGAAACCTCTCAAGAAACCGATCGACGTCGATCGGATTTGGCGAAACCCCGAATGCCGAAGCCTAGCTGGCCCTTTTCACAGCATATATGTCATGGGGGCTGTCTGACCATATGTCTATAATAATATATATATATATATATACATAGCATTTATACCCTCATAGAAATAGGCCCTGACGCAGGGTTTGTATTCTAGCGTACCAAATGGACTTCAGGAAAGCTTCTGAGACTCGAATTCGGGACATGGGTTCTGCCAAAAAGCAACGAGTGCCACCAAACTGTTGCGCAATTTGCAGGGACTTGATGAAGTAGCCAAAACCTTGCAAACACCTTGTCAAGCTGGGTTGGTTGGTGAAAATCACCCAGCTGTGTGCTGTTGTAGGTGGGTGAAATGGAGTTGTGGACTTCCTAGGTAGTCTTGAATGGAAATTGCGCCCTACATGATATGTTTGGGATCCTGTTTCTTGACTGCTATGACTTGTGGGGAAATAAAGGTGTTTTCCACTACACCCCTCAAAAGTTGTTCACTTTTTGTAGGGGGGTCGGTGCAGCAATCAAGGTTTGAACATATACATAGGAATGTGTGCTGGTTCAGACCAACACCGGCCGTGCCAATTTGCTCGCCAGGAAGTCTGCCAGGACTGCGCACTCGTGCAAGCTGCTGACAGCCACCGGGACCAGGTCCTAACATACTGCAGCACCCACGAAACCTGGGAATGAGTCGATTCCCCAACGTAAATACCAACAAGCAATGGTTTCAGCCATGGATTCAAAGTGGTGCAGAATTTCGCAACCATCCACAGTAGGTCTCCTTTTAGGTTAGTTTGAGTACAAAAATAGATGGCACGGGTTTAGGTAGCCTTGATTCCATTTACCAGCTCCGTCTATTTGTCCTTCAAAAGGCCTAAGGATCCAAACTTTTACCCCTGAATAGCCCCATCGACAAGGTCCAGGAAATATCAAGCCCCGTAAAAGGAGACCCAGTCCTCCCTGTTTGGCCAATAGGACGGCAATGGGAAGCTAAAAGGACAGTGCCGTTGTGTTTCTCCGGATTGGAGAGTGCCAGGATTACAGGTTGGGTACTACTAAGGAGGCTGGCCTTGAAGGAGGGTTACCCTGTGCAAGCTTGCCATACCTTCACCGCCAAAAAAGCAAACACGTGCAAGGAAAATGAGAAATGTGTTGTGTCCGGCTGGCTCTTTGTCCGGTATTGGGAAAAGGCGACGCTTGTAACCTTGCCTATGAAGAATAGCTTTTATTGTCTAACTTGAGTAGGGGTGGAAGAGTCTTTTCAAGAGTGGCTCATTATTTTTTACCATGTTCCAAGCAGCCTTGTGTGATTAAGAAAAAATATGATAATTTCACAAATGACCGGGGAAGAGGGGCGCTTTTTCGGCTATACATCGCGGTCATTTAGAGGTTCAGAAGTTCTCTGAAGCAAAGGAGATGGAGAGAGTGGAAAGCTCTCCGACGAGTACCATCGAAAGCACGAACTGTGATGGCTGAACGAGACTTCAAGCTTCCGTATGTGTGTTTGTTGTTGGTGAATTTTGATAGCACAATTCGAGTATATTGACGTGTCATGTTGGGTGTGTTTCCGACTCATCTTGTCTCCCTTTTCCAATTTTGCTCAGACAAAACTAGGAATAACTCAGCGGCCTTCCTTATGAACTTGGCTACAATCCAAACCCCGTCCAACTTGGACCACCCACTGCGGCACCGTTTCAAGTGTTGCCCCGCAGCTCAAAAGCCATGACCAAAGCACAAGCGGTAGAATAATGGACTTGGCGCCCCTTTGTTTTCCTTCTTGGGCCAATTTCTACTCTTAGACAGGGCCGGAGCAAGCCAGTTTAGGACGAGCAATGTCTGATGGCTACTCGTGGCACCTGGCTGCAGCGGCTGTTGCTGGGATCGCCTTCGGCTATGTTCTCGCAAAGACCCACCCAGCGCCTGATACTGCGACTGCGCCTGCGCTGAAGCGGGACTTTCGCGTGCCGAGCGAGAAGGTCTGTCTCGTCACTGGTGGCTCCAGAGGCATTGGTGCGGCAGTCTGCGAGAGGCTGGCGGCAGATGGGTACAAGGTGGCGGTGAATTATCGCAGCAACAAGGAGCAGGCCGACGAGGTGGTGAAGCGGATTCGTTTGCAGGGGGGCATAGCTGTTGCAGTGCAGGGCGATGTCGCCAACCAGCAGGAAGTCCCACAATTGTTCGACATGGTCTCGGCGCAGTTGGGCGCAGTGCCGACTGCGGTGGTCAACAATGCCGGGCTCTTAGGCCCCCTCACTGGCCTCACAGACGACGCCACACTGGGAGAGCTCGGCAGAGTCATGGGCACAAACCTCTATGGGGTCCTGCACGTACTCCAGGAGGTCGCAAAGCGCATGCAGCCCGGTGGCGCGGTTGTCAACGTGAGCGCAGGCTCTGCATACACTGGTCAGCCCCTGGCGTATGCCATGAGCAAGGGCGCGTTGAACAGTTTGACCGCAGGATGTGTGCCAGAGCTGGCACGCCTGGGCATTCGCATCAACACCGTGTCCCCAGGTCCTGTCTACACAGACATGATGGGAGACTTTGACCAGATAGCTCGGGATCAGATGGCTGCTGCAATACCGCTGGCCAGAGCGGGCGAGCCCAGCGAGATTGCCGCGGGCATCTCCTGGCTGCTCTCGGACGATGCGTCTTTCGTCTCGGGAGCCAACTTGCGGATCGCCGGGGGCAAGCCCCTAGAAGCGTGAGACAGTCGATTCCCCGCGAATCGAGGGGTCGGCGCCAATCCGAGCCCCCCCTGCAGATTAGCTTGTGAACCACAAAAACCTGTGTTTTTTTTAGGAAACTCCCTTTGCCACCCCTTTTTTTGAGGTTCCATGTCCCTTTGCAGGGGAGTCTGAATGAAGGAGTTGGCTATATGGCCAATCGCGAGGAAAGAAACTGGTGCAAGTTCGCGCTTTGGCTGCGGCTTCGAGAACGCACAAATTTAATGTGTTGTTCTTCTGGCCCCAAACACCTGGTGGCGCCTTTGCTTCCTCGTTTTGCAATTGGATGGCGGGGGGTCCCCGTTTAAGTCAACGACCAAACAAGGTTTTTTTTTTTTCCATGGCCACTGGTGACGGTGTTGCTTTCAAAATGGTGAACCCTTTGTCGGTGGTTGGAAGGAAAGCCACAAGGAAGCAACAGATGTTGGGATTCCCCCTATTTTGAGAACCACCACCCCCATATGTGATTTTAGAAAAGGCATTCCGAACAAGGGCGTTGAACGATATCAATTGAGGACACCTCTTAAACACCCGAGTGAGTCTGTGATACATGGTAAGTTCAAGGAGCACCTGGTCACTCCAAAAATATCGAGGACAACCTGTTTCGATAAAGTTCAAGTCATTAGTTGCTCCCCTTCAAATGTACAAGAGACCCCTAAAAGGAGAATTCTCAACAAATGACGGTCTGGGTCAAAATTAAGCCAGGAATGGGCTGGTGTTAGTTCTTGTTTCCATAAGATTGGGAAACCCATGTTGGAGTTGCCTGATTTTTCCCACACTCAAATGACTTGCTGGTGCTCAGCAGGCAATCCCTTGTGGTTTCCTTTAAGGGGACCCCTGGGTTCATCCCACCTTCCCTACTCAACCCCAGCAAGATGAAGGTATGTTGGGCGCGGCGCTTGGGCTTTCTTTGACGAACTTAAGACCCTGACTCACCTAACAAGTGGGGGTCTTTTACAGAAGAGATGGATGTGCCAGGTATCCTTGAGGTTGCTATTGGCAGTAAGCGTACCTGAACTCTCAAATGCAAGAATGGGATTCTGGGGTGTTTCAACCATGTTATAGGCTAGTTTGAGGGTTCAGGTCCAGGATAAAAGCAGATGGCCCAATTCCCCTTTTTGGTAAGAAAAGCGTATTTTCACCCAACTGTATCCCATGTTTTTTTTGCCTGGGGTCCGGTATCTCACCTGGTAACCGTGGAAGGTGGTGTGGGGGTCGTGCTTTCAAACGCGACTTCCGCGAGCAGGAAGCATGTGACCATCAGCGATGAGAAATCCACTCACACTTATGACCCAGAGAATCCGCCGGAAGCCTAAGCACAGCCACGAGTTAATTTTTGGTGAGTTTTGAGTTGGATTCATCACATACCCCGCTTAAATTTGGTGTTACTGGCAGGTGACCAACGAACCGCTGTAAGGGGCCCGTTGTTCTCGTTGGTAGCGGGGTGCGGTACGGGGACTTTCGGTTTTCGGGGTTCAAGCCTCAGGACCCTGAGCAAACGACTTGCCAATGCGACCTCACTGGCCAATGCACTGGTCCTTGTCACCGGTCAACTCAGGACAGTAAGCCAGGAAGAATCCAGGACCATGGGAAATCAGTGCGTTTCCCATCTGTCCAGTTCGGTTTCCCTGTGTTCCAATTGGGGAATACGCGTAATTTGGGCAGGTTGCGGAGAATTCAGTTGCTTTCGAATCTGCTTTTCTGTGAGACCCTGAGAGCACTCCCTGAGGTATTCATAAGGAATCCAGGTGACCATGTGGTTTGGTGGATCCTTTAAGTTTTCAGACTGCGTCTATGGGTTGATCTATGTTTTTTCGCCCATTGTTCTGTTCAATTGCTTCTGATTTGCCTGGGTCCGCCGACCTGGAAAGAGAGGCCCATGGACCTGGAAAGAGGTGTTTTCTTTGGCAGTCCAAACCTTTTTGGGTGTTCCAAAAAACACTTAGAGCATAAAACACCTGGGAAGTGAGGGCACCTTTTCGAAAACCTGTGACTGTCAAAGGACAAAGTTTAGATACATATATATATATATAATATGTGTATAACGATATATATCACATAAATAAAACCAAACATTCCACGGAGCACCAAACCGAACCAAAGGTGGAAATTGAAGAAAAAAACGAACGCGTGCCAAATTGTTCGGGTCTTCCATCTTTAAGCCAACCCAAACCGAATGCAAGAAAATTGACCACGCGATGGGTTTTGGGTTCGGCTTCAGGTCCGCTCAGCCGGCGAAGCCTAAGGTGACGCCCGGGGCCACAGCCTCGCCGCCCATTTGCTGAGACTGCTCTTGGGCAAGGGATCTTTGGACTTTAAGTCTTTGGTTGAAATCAAGTTGGGTTTTCTCCACTGAACCCCAAAAACATAAACCTGGTTGAAATCAAGCTGGGTTGTCCACAAAGAACCACCCAAAAAACATAAGCCTTTTTTGCAGGGGGTCGTTGCAGCAACCACGTCTGAGCCCCGTGGCTTGCGGCTTTGCATTTCCCCAAGGAAGGAGATATGGCCATGGTTCAAAACCAATGGGATCCCATTTTGGTTGGTAGGTGAATTCACCACCCATTTTAGAACCTATTTTAGTGGGGATTGGGATGTTCACTGGGGGATAACCGGGGTTTTGACCCATGGCCATATGCGGAACATTGAGAGCTAGAAAGGCTAAACCCTGCTTTTTCCTGCTGCGATGGGTCGGAAATGACCTGGGCAGCGTGTTGGGAATGAACCGTTTGGGAATCCCTGAAACCATAAGGCATGGCTTTTCCTGGGGTCGTTCTATTTTTCATTCTCTGCTACCCCAACTTGCCTGCTAGTTCAACCATGTTCAAAATCACAAGTACGGCAACCAAAAAGCAGTGGTTGGGGGGGTACTGGTTGAAATGTTCTTTTTGATGATGGATGTTCGAAGGGAGAGCAAACCGGGATCCACATGCTGAGCTTGGGTGCCAAAGGAAAACGAAGAGGAAATCAGCAGCATTGAGCCTCCCCACTCATGTTGCACAAACCGTTTGGGGTTATTCTAAGGCACCAAAAGGCAAGCAGCAATTCTCAAGTTCAATGTCCAGTTGAACAAGTTGATCCTTGCTTGGACAACAAGCATGGACATCGAAGGAACCCCTTTGTTGCTTTTGCTGCACTGAAGTTGACTGGATTTTCGTGTCCAGGCGTCACAGGAATCCACCCCCTCCAAGTGGCTTGTCGGTTTAGGCTTACTTCTACCAGCAACCCCACGAGTATCATTGCTGGGATGCAAAACAATTCTAGATCTATACAGCGACGATATAAACTGCATATAGATTTGTTTTCTTTGGTTGGCGGTTTGGGGAGTAGTGGAAACAAGCTCAGAAGCCAAGCAATGCCATTTTTTTATCCGCCAATTCGTCCGTCTGTGCGTATGCTGGCGGGCAGGTATCAGCCATCGCGAAGATCAGAAGTCTGGGACAACAGATTCGGGGCGGCGCCGGCAGATTGACCATTGACGTGCGGTGAAAATGTGGGAAACGCGGAAACTTGGACCCGGGGGCTCCTGGGAAAATCAACCCTTGGGCTAATCGAAAGCACACCCTAGTTTGGGATACCCCTTGGACTAAAAATGCCACTAGAATTAGATGTTTTTTGTGTATGTGTGCGTGTGCGTGTGCGTGTGCGTGTGCGTGTGCGTGTGCGTGTGCGTGTGCGTGTGCGTGTGCGTGTGGGTGTGGGGGTGTGGGGGTGTGGGTGTGGGTGTGGGTGTGGGTGTGGGTGTGGGTGTGGGTGTGGGTGTGTGCGTGCGTGCGTGTGTGTGTGTGTGTGTGTGTGTGTGTGTGTGTGTGTGTGTGTGTGTGTGTGTGGGCGCGCGCGCGCGCGGGCGTGCGTGCGTGCGTGCGTGCGTGCGTGCGTGCGTGCGTGCGTGCGTGCGTGCGTGCGTGCGTGCGTGCGTGCGTGCGTGCGTGCGTGCGTGCGTGCGTGCGTGCGTGCGTGCGTGCGTGCGTGCGTGCGTGCGTGCGTGCGTGCGTGCGTGCGTGCGTGCGTGCGTGCGTGCGTGCGTGCGTGCGTGCGTGCGTGCGTGCGTGCGTGCGTGCGTGCGTGCGTGCGTGCGTGCGTGCGTGCGTGCGTGCGTGCGTGCGTGCGCGTGCGTGCGTGCGTGCGTGCGTGCGCGTGCGTGCGTGCGTGCGTGCGTGCGTGCGTGCGTGCGTGCGTGCGTGCGTGCGTGCGTGCGTGCGTGCGTGCGTGCGTGCGTGCGTGCGTGGGTGTGTGTGTGTGTGTGTGTGTGTGTGTGTGTGTGTGTGTGTGTGTGTGTGTGTGTGTGTGTTGTGTGTGTGTGTGTGTGTGTGTGTGTGTGTGTGTTTGTGTGTGTGTGTGTGTGGGGGCTTGATATTCCTTGGGGTGTTCAGGCCTGGTCAAGCACAGGTCTATGGTCAATTGGGCGCTGCATGTCAACCAAAGCCCGTGGGATGTTTTTTTTTCTACGATATTTTTTTAGAGTTGGCAGTCGGCGGAAAAGTGGTTGGCGGACATGAAAGCCACCAACACTTCCATTTGCCTAATAAAAAAAACATGTGAGCGGCGGTTTTTTTGCCCGCAAGCTAATTTAGTGGGGAGAGGGACATTATTATTGAAAATGTGCGCCGCGCCACACGCGCGGAAGCATGCGGAAGGCTCGCGGAAGGGATTTGTTCGCGGAAGGTTTGCGGAAGCTTGGTGGCTGATATACAACTAAATGTTTCAGTGCGTGCGTGGAAAAGCTCGGAGAAACAATTCCAGTAGAAGAAAAGGTGTTGCTGCGTACAAGAAACGTAACGCTTACTCAAAGAGCAGATGCCAACAGCAAGCCAAGAAGGCCAAAACAGCCGGCGTACTTCGCGGAAGGTTTGCGGAAGCTTCGCGGAAGCTCCGCGGAAGGGTGGCCCCGTGTTTGCAGGCAAGCGGCCACGTAGCATGGGTAGCCCAATGGAGCCCAAGCCTACACAAGCTGCGGAACACTACCTCACTTAAAATGACATTTGTTTCTGCGCCAATGCTCGCGGAAGCAAAACTTGTAAACCATGCCCCGCGGAAGGTTTGCGGAAGCAAACAAAGAAAAACATGTGCCGCGGAAGTTCGCGGAAGGGACC